CATCTCAACTGATGAAGTTTCACTACTAAATCAATTGATTCGCCATCTTTACCTTCGCACTATTTTTTTCTATTCAATATACCATATACAATACTATCTCCTTTTATTAATACTTGGTTTATTTCTATAGCAAATAAGAATGGTTCAACGTTAAGTGGCAATTGACCGGATAGACCATGAACTAAACAACTTTTTGCATTTCATTCAATATTAAACAATCACTATTGTTTATTATTATTGGAAAAGACAACAGTTAGTTTGTTTGTGTTTTCTTCTCTTTTTTATCAATACCAACTAATAGTTTTCAATATAATTCACCATTGGAATAATGAATAGAATAGTTGGATAGTTTTGTATGATTCTAGTTATTTGATTTCAATAAAAAGCATTTATGATTTTAATGTAAATATCATTTAGGTTTTTATTTTAATACATTTTCTTTCTGTTAAACTTCTCTGACAATATCGTATCAGGAGGGGTTTTATGGATATGTTATGGTAATTTCAGTATAATTGAGATCATAAGTCAAATGAAGCTACAAAACCATAGAAAACGTGGAAGTAATGAACAGACGTTTCGCCCGACTGTGGGACTCTTCAGTAGTGCACATCCACGACCCCACCTCTCGAGATTCGACCCAAAGACCTATCAGTCTCACGCGCGAGCTCTTAGCCTCCAAACCACTTGACCACCCGGCCGAAATCCAGCGGTGTTAATGTCTAACTTCAATTAATCCACGAAATTGCACCACCGTCTACCATCATCTTCAGAAAGTTGCTATCTCATAACAGACCCGATTGAACTCCATTGGTCACTTCCTCTGACTAGAACTCCAGGAAATCCATCTCGAAGCCAGTCACTAGTGAGGTTAACAGTTCGCATGCGAGGCCGATAGGTTCTGGGTTCGAATTTCGAGAGGTTGGATCGTTGATGTGCACTACTGAGAAATCCCACAATAGGAAGGGACGCCCATCTAGAGCTTCCAGGTTTTTCATGGTAATCTAGCTTAAATTAACTCATGACGTCAACCATTAAAATTAAGGTATATTGATTGAAAGGAATGCATACTTTACCATTATATACTGTAGAAAAACACGATTCTTTATATAATCATACGAGGTTATAGTATTGTTTGGTGGATCAGCAACTAGTAAAATATCTCCAAATATCAGAGGAAACTAGTTGTCCTTTGTTTATGTGCCTAATGTATATTATAGTCAATGTGTACAGACGCCTATTGATGACACTATTTTGCACCAGTCTCGAAATATGCTTAATCAATATGCAAATGTGCAGTTTTGAAAAAATATGTATTCCTGTGGTAACCTATGTATAGGTGTCCAACGGACAAGTGAGAAATGCCGGTTTGTGATATAAAATCATAGTCAGACCTCACATTGTAGTGTCTATTATTATGTGAAGCCTATATGGGTTGTCCTAGCTTCCGGACGGACCAGTTTCTTCATTCACATATTAAGTCACGCTTGATCGAGACATGTTGGCATACTTGTTTGCTCAACTTTGCATTCCCGCTTCTCATTCTTAATGTCTGTCAGAATAAACGAGTGTCTGAATTAAATTCATCCAACTCAATCCGTATTTGCTTTTTAATAACGCCGTTAAACAAATGGGATAAGCGTAGGTAATATACGGAGTTAGACGGAAAATTCATGTTCTTAACATATTCATACGTTCATCCAAATCAGAGTCAGACCAAACAACTGCTGAAACATCATTCATGAAGTATTGAACATGTTATTTGGGACGTCTGTAGTGAATGATCATATACTATCTACTGTGGTGATTCATTCGGAAAGAGAGTTAATTGTGGCTGCATTCAAACCTTATAAGGTATTCATATCTGGAAAACTAATAATGATTATCGAAGTTAGGCAGAGTTTCTAGCAGAAAGTCAGAGACTTTAGATCTTCAAGGTGCCTCTTTATCACACAACTACTCTTTGTTTACAAATTAAGAAAACTAGTTTATCTTTTTCCTTTCCACATCGTTTGGAGTTTGTTCTGAGCTTCACTCATCCCCATCTGATGATCGTTCGTCTTTTTTCGTTACCTTTACGTAATTCTAAATACCAACCCCTCCTCCCAGAATTTCCGTATTGGTCATACAAATATAGTGCGTTATCGATTAGTCGATAATCAACATAATCACTCCCCACACTAGGTATCTCATTCGTCATTGAGGCGCAGAATATCAGATGACTGTGATAAATCCTTATTTAGAAAATACACCATTCTATGCATAAACTTGGAAAACCTAAAATTACACTTTAAAGAATATGATTAGATAATTCCTGTTGTTTGGTTCAGAAACAGCACAAATCGTCCAATAAGACAATGAGAATTATGTAATAGCATAAACCAGTACATGGATTAGGAAAATGATTGCCTCATCAATCGTAATGTTGACTATCGCTATTAATGCAACTGCTTAATTTACAATGACAATCCAACCAACTCCTCACTATACGATAAACTGCTGACCAGAATATTCATTTCCTTGTCACATCAGAACACTAAGCAATGACCCATCTACTTTCTCTTTATAACAACGTCCAATTGATTTCAATCATTTTTCTGTTTCACAAATGTTTCAACCTACTTTTATCACAATTCATATGTGCATCCACTACATTGTGTTTCTACCAGACCGAAGTCTGCCTATATTGATGTAGCCATTATAATGGTCACATGTTTTTCGTATTTATTCAAATGTTTCGATAGCTACTTAGTGTAGAGCAGTCGTATAATGATTCAACCACATAGACACCGCCCGGTTTGGGCATTAGTATGCAAACATATACTTGATTATGGGGTCCCTCGTTAATGAAAGTCTAGTTTATATTACTTAGTGAGTCCTAACACACACAAGTACTCAGAGAGGGTTGCTGTTTTTCCTACTCCTACTTACTCAGGCTTTATGCATTGACTACAATCGCAACTTTTCAACACAAAATTTCCATCACACGAGTACCTTACGTGACAAGTAAGTGATTGCAGGTGATGCTCATCACCAAACATTTTCATTTAATGTATAAATAGGAACTATGAAGTACTGGGAATCTATCACTTCCTAGTGTGATATCCGTTACTAATAATTACCCACGACTTCGCTAAGGATCTATGGATCTCGCTGTGAGTGCCTCATTTTAAAAACAACAGAAATCGAAAGCTTCATATTGCTCCAATCAACTCGTGATTTGTCGAGAAAACCATACATCGTTATCCGTAATCACCGACTCTCTATCAACATGACTCAAACTCACTGGTCATAGATTTCTTCTGGAATTCGTTTCGAATTCACTAGTAAGAACAAGATAATGGTTTGCTTGAAATGTCCAATACTATGAGCCGAAACAGCTGTTCAGTGTTCCCTAGTTCTTCATGGCCCGTCGGTCTACTCCGGGTGACCGTGAATTTGACCATAAACGAAGGATGTTAAGTAATGAAACCAGGCAAAACTTGCGTAAGGACAGAGAAGCCTGGTGGTCGGAGCGTGCTAATGAGCTGGAAGCAGCAGCTGCATCTGGTAACTACCGGAAGCTCTTCCAACTCATCCGAGCAACTGGCAGCAAGAAGTCTGGTGTGAGTGAAACAGTCTGTGAGGATGACGGGATGCCAATCACTAACATCCATCGACGTTTTGGACGATGGGCAGAATTCTTCGAAGGGCAGTTCAACTGGCCTGCTGCTCCGACAACATCGGTCAGACTGTCCTGCCCTCCATGGCAGGTGACGACTGACCCACCAAATGAGACGGAAGTCCGCAAGGAACTCCAAATCTTGAAGCTCTACAAATCACCTGGCCCAGACGACTTGCCTCCGGCTCTTTTTAAAGATGGTGGTGACTTTCTGACTAAGGAACTGACGGCGTTGTTTACAAAAGTCTGGAAGCTAGAGAGTGTGACAACATCATGGAATGAGTCGATAGTTGTCCTTATCTTTAAAAAAGGTTCATATCGTTTATGTAACAACTATTGGGGGATAAGTCTACTTTTGATTGCGTCCAAGCTATTGGCTTCGGTCATACTTCGTAGGTTGTTCAAAACTCGAGAAAGATTGACACAAGAGAAGCAGGCTGGTTTTCGTTCTGGTCGATGATGTATTGATCATATCTTCACCCTCTGCCAAATGTTAGAACACCGCCATACTTATCAAAGGCCAACAATCGTAGTGTTTCTTGACATCAGGGCTGCCTTCGATTCGTTGGACACGACTGTTCTCTGAGATTGTCTATTGAAGAAGGCTGTGATATTCCCCTGGAAATTCCGTTGTCTCTGGGGGAAAATTCCAACCGCTTTATTCTAAATCCGAACTCACATCTGTAGTAACAGACGACCGGTCAGTTGACTTAATATGGTGAGGACAATGGATCTCAGAATATGTTAGCTTTTTGACCACCCATATCACAAATAAAGCCTCCTTTCAGGTTTCGGAATACTATTATTTTTCTTTACAAATTCGTTTCGAAATAAAATTCTTAGACTTCCTATCCGGCTTTACGGCTGCATTTTTCCTCTGGAGACGCGTCTGCTATGCGAATTACTTTTTGGTTGACGAAACCACCTTAGAAATGCTTCACTACTCAAGCACTGTTATGTGTTTCTTAGTGTATCCACGCTTGATTCCTATGTGAATTATTTACTAGAAGTCAGATGAAAAGGGGTGAATGATATTCGCGTGAGGTTTCAAATGAGTCTAAGACAAAACGGAACAGTGTCAACTAGTGATATTTTTGTTAAGATATTCATTTGAGAAAGTTCTTAAATCAGTGTGACATAGCTACTCATATCAGGTATGAAACTCTTGGCATCCACTGTGTAGACTAAGTAATTGATAGAGCCAAGTTAGAAAAATTGCTTTGCTGAATATACGGCAGATTTTGTGTAAAAAAAAGTGTCTTAGTAACTTAAGAAAATGTTCACTGATCAATGATTGTGCATTGGCACAAACAGAATTACTAAGCAACAATTGAACTGTAGAGTATTCATTATACACTTCAATCTCGACAGCTAATGTTTTTAGTTTGCAGCATTCGTTTTCTACCGAATAATAATCACTCCTCGATTGCATACCATGATACAGCTTTGTTTTAATTTGCTACATTAGTTGTACTAGTGGCTGTGACAGGTCCGATTTACAATCCTAATGTGATCGGTTACAGTTTATTGGAAATGGGTAGAGAATCGTTTGTTACCCTTGCAACAAATGATGAATACTGTGTGGGTGCACTTGTTTTAGCAGCGTCCTTAAAACAATCAGAAACGTCTAAAGAGCTTACTATTCTTGTAACACCTGGTCTCTCATCACAGATGAGGTAAGTTGTGACACATATATTTACTGACTTTTAAAGACAACTGCTCTGCAGCACTTATGATAATGTAATTGAAGTACAACCAGTTATAACCAAAGGCTGGAGTCAGCCTGTTATTGGTGGTAGAACAGAGCTCATTGAAACATTCACAAAAATTCAGGTTTGGTGTCTTATTCAGTTTACCAAAGTTGTATTTATGGATGCTGATACTCTGGTAAGGCTTTAAAAGTTTTTGTCATTCAAGCCAAATAGATTTCCCATAATTGTTTCCTAAATACATAAAGGTTTCACGTTTTGCAGGCGGAAGTCGCCATCAAGTTGTTTAGTTTCAGTAGTAAAGATATTAGATCAACTGACTTCCATTAAACCCTATACTATATCACGTTTAACACTGGCTTTGTGCTTAAGGTTTTTAATGATAAAAATGATGTCACTTGTCTGACTAAGCAGTTCCAGTATCTGGTCACTCGTTAGGACATAGAGGATTCGATACTGAATTATTTCAGCGTAGTGCTTAACTCTTTCTAGGGTTGTCTCCTTAGTATATTCTCCTACAAAAAGCAAAAATAGTATGTTAGCCGAGAGTCTAAGCATCCAAAGAACCTCTTGTGTTTCATAATTATTGAAATAGACCTAAGCATTTTTATTATCCCTGCTGGAACCAAGCTGGTAAACGATCTTCTTATACACCTAGGTATATCTCTATTTTTGGCAGACTTTGATAACATCAGCGAGAACTTGTTCGTCAACTTTTCAGACAAACCGTATTCGATTTACACCTTGCACGGTCCATATTGTTAAACAGATAGGAATCATTTATTTGGTCAGTTAATTTTATCTTTCTCCAAAGACCTACAGAAGACCAACCAAGAGTTTTGTGGTCTTGAAAACTATGTGTAATTTCTAGTTGTACCCCGTTTGACATCGGGCTTTCTAACTTTCATTTTACTTTACTCCATATACAATTGTCAGACATATTCCATCTTTAATACAGAGATGTCTTGACATTTGTTGATTGGTATTTTACACGGTAAAACTAAAAATTGTCTTTATGTTCGTATCCCCTTAATCAAACGTCTCTTATGTATACCATATACGTTCAAAGGTGATATATTAGAATCAGACAGCCGTGTCTACTCAAAAGGTGAAAGGTGGCCTCATCGATAGTAATAATTTCAGAATAATATGAAACGAATCACAAGTGCTTCTGCCTAAAATGAGAAAAAAATCAGATAAAAAACTAGTTATTTTTCCAGAACGTTTCACTTTGGTTGATTAATAGTGAGTTTTCTAATGAATCCAGGTTTTACAGAACGTTGATGAATTGTTCAACAGATCTGAGTTTACTGCGGCACCTGATCCTCTATGGCCAGACTGTTTTAATGCTGGTGTCTTTATATTAGAGCCTTCTATGGACACATACAACGGTCTTCTACGAATGTTGTTTGACTCTGGGAGTTTTGATGGAAGAGAACAAGTAAGTTCACAAGATTTATATTTGATTAAGACTTCTTAATATAGTAATACGTGTTGTTAAGTGAGATTCGAATACGGATCTCAGCAAAAGGCTACACATATGAAGTAGCATTCCGATTCCTTGGGTTTATGAACTCAAATAATAAGAATGTTTTTTACACAGCTAGTTTGTTTAATACCCATAAGCACCATGCATAACATAACTACTGAATTCCAATTATTTATTAGTTAATCATTTTATATATGTTTGTAAACAGTACTGTTTATCTAGTGTCTTGTGAATAACCTTATTTTCACGCTATTAATAAGAAAATTGTTTCAAAAGTTTAAACAGATAGAATAAGTGTAATTCAAGGTAAAAAAAAGTCGAATGATATGGAAAATTGAAACGGCTATGTCAATAATTATATGTCTGACCATTAAAAGATTGTTGCATTTTATAAATTCCCGAAGAAAAATACAGATGTCTAGGTATGAGTGTTATTTAAATTATATTTTATTAGTAAAATAATATTCAATGATAATATTCATTCTTATTGGTATTTTAATAGGGTTTACTGAATACGTATTTTTCCAACTGGTTAGAAGGAGATATATCACATAGACTACCTTGTATATACAACTGTATTTGTCGTATATCAGATGACACAAGTTTTGAATTTTATACAAGCAGATCCGCTTGGGTTCAGTTTGGCGGATCTGTTCGAGTTGTGCATTTTGCTGGTCCAATTAAACCTTGGCATAAAACATCCGCGGCTAAAACATGCAGTCAAGCTGCTTTTTGCACATTCTTTAATACTGATAAAAATAGACGATCAATATGTCGTGTAGCTGGTATGCTGGCCTACTGGTGGTCATTATTTCTAATTCTTGTACGACCAAAACTTTATCCTGATATGGTAAGTAGAGAAAATTATTTATTTGCTTTTTCCAACCTGTCCGTTTAATGCAAACATTTATGAAAACAGTAGTTTTTCTGTTTATCACTACTATTCAGAACTAGTGGGTTAGTGGGTCATCAATAGAGATTAATACAACTATGATTAAGAGTTTAATTGAGCAGAACGAATTCACTTTTTTAATAAGGTTATCAATTAATCTTACTGTAAACAATGATTATCAAATTAGTGTACATCCGTAAAATTTACCATCATCTCTTTGATTCAATTTGAGTTTTTGCTTTGATTGAATTCATTTTAATAAATAATGAAATTTCCAGATATACAGTTGGTTTTTTGAAAATTGTCGGATCAGTTTATAACAAAATGTATGGACAGCTTGATAAACCAGAAAAAAATAGGAAAACTGTGGAGAATGATGCTTGGATAAATAATTGATCAGACAAACAGTACTGACTACAAGTAAAAATGTTTTGAAATCTAAAAATGACAGATATAAGTCGCACAATTTGGCTGCGTAGTATTAATTACGTGAAACAGGCGAAAGATCAGAGATACAGGACTTCACTCAAATGACTGCACTGCACGTCTTTCTCGTTTTATCTTTAAAATGACTTCACTTCTTATTATCTAGATTATCAATTTTTGTCGCTATCTTTCTATAACATTTTGAAACCAGATAATGTTCTGTCATAGTATCAAACATCCTTAGTTATGCAATGATTGTTCTAATACTTAACAATCCAGTCTATCATATTCTGTTAGATAAAGTTTGTTATAAGACACATGGTCTTTTAAGTCCATTTAAGAAAAATTTGAGTGTTTGAGTTGATTTTTGGATATACTAGTTGTAAGATATCTACCGAGAAATAGCTTTAGAACAAGAAATAATTTATTTCTATTCGTTACCACAACGACAACGACATCAGTTTTGTTACGATAGTCTTGTTCAATATAATTGAACAGTTCCCAGATATTTATCTGACATTCTCTAGCTTAGATGTGTCATAGAATTCATGAGACATTTAGTTGTGGTGTCGTACACGTGGTTATTCTATATCTACTAGACGCAGTCATTAAGGATTAAGGACATTTATAACTAGGGATTTTCTAGTAATTTTTTCAGTATGTATAAATATATTGCACTCTGTAGTAGGCATGAAAAAATAAGATCGTTAACTTCACTAACACCATACCGTTATATATAACAGTTTTATTAATGACCTAAACAATATATAACCCATATGTTATGAGCATGCTTGATTTTTATTTTTCATTATTTATTTACTACAATGTGATTGAATACTGACATTGTATGTTTTCCCTAAAACCTTAATGTCGTCATCTTTATTTGCATGATTGTTTTAGAATTTAGTTAAACATGAAAAATTTGTACATAAAATACAGTCTACATCTTTTTTTACACAATTCAGTCCTATTGGCTAATGCATGACAAAATATTTATCAATGATAGAGGTAATTTCAATGATGGTCTAACGTCGGTCAGTTCATGATCTCAATCAATAACTTAATAATCTCCACAACCCCATAGTGATAATTACCATATGCTTGCTAGTGACTAGGTTCGCAAGGGAATTCTCGGAGTTCTGGAGCTAATCCATGTCGGATAAAGACATGTATCTACCTCAGTACAATGGAAGGCGGTTGCGTAATCTTGTGAATTGGTTGAGGTTAGACATGGAATAACGACTGGCTCAGTGGTTTAGGGAATGAGCGTTTGCACGCAAGACAGGAGACCCTGGGTTCGAATCCCGGGAGGCGGGATCGTGGATGCACACTGCCGAGGAATTCCACGATAAGACGAAACGACCGTTCAGTGCTTCCAGGTTTTAAATAGTGGTCTAAAATCAATCGGTTCATGATCTCAATCAAAAACATAATAATCTTCACAAACCCATACTAAAAATATTTCACTGTTGGATGATTTTAAAAAAATGGATTGTCTACTAGCCTACAGTGACGGTTTATCTTTCGAATGCCATTCTCAATCAGATGTTATATTTGGCTAAACTATGATTTTACGTAAACGAATGATACCAATCAATATTAGGTCTTGGTCATCACTGGACATTTTAGAATTCTGTCACAAAAGTTATCATCATGGGCTGACATTAACATGCATGAAATAGTCAAAAATCTCACTTTAAATTATAATGGTCACTGATTGTGTTATGCTGAATGACAATGAACAGCTCTCAAATAAAAAAAATATACATATAAAAAGGAAATAAGACTGTCAAACGTTGACTATATTACCGAGTCGTCCACACAGTAATAAACGTAGGAAGGATTGGTTGGATTAAGTATTTAATTTCACAAAATTTGAATGTCTTAATTGTAAAACGAAAAATCAATAGTGACTAGCTTCAAGTTGGATTTTCTGAAATTCTAGTCGGAGTCCGTGACCAGTGGAGTCCAATCCATGTTGTGTAGAGACAGTTAACCACCTAAGACAATGAATGGAAGGTTGAACAAGATCATGGATCGATTAAAGTTAGGCATTAACACCACCTGGATAATGGCTCAATGTTTTACAAGTTAAGCATTCACACGCAAAACCGAAGGTTCTATGTTAAATTCCTATGTACAAAATCGTAAATATATACTGCTGAATAGTCCTATAATGAAACGAAACATCTGTTCAGTGTTTCCAGGTTTTCAATAGTGATCTAGCTTAGGTCAATTCATGAATTCAATTATTAAAATTATTGCAATCTCCACAAATCCCCCAGCCATTCGTCCGAATAATTATATATTTAAGTATTTGATAAAATTGACTTTTTTGTAATGTGGTTTCTTATCTTTTTAATTTGTCTTTTGGTGATATATAAATATATCCATATTCAATGTCAACAGTGATTCATTTTAGGTTTTGTTTAAATTGATGAATATAATTCAATGAACAAATGATGTGATATTATGAGTTGGTTGACTTAATCCCAACATTACATAGATATGTACTATTGTAATACGTATATATACATTACTTAATTACCTACACTTGTTATTCCTAGTGGAGAAAAGGCCGCCAATCAACATTCTCCAACCCACTCTGCCTTGGGACTTCCTTCACAGTTCTATCCAATTTTTGTTCATTTTCCTCATGTCTGTCTCTATTTCTCATCGTAACATGTTCTTTGGTCTTTCTCTTTTCCTTTGGCCTTGAGGACTCCATGTGAGGGCTTGCAACCCTCCCCGTTTGTCCGGGTTTGGGACCGGCAGTAGAATCAGAGGGGCTCCAGACGGATATATATATATATAGAAATAGTTAAATGGTATATTCCAACTATAGATGACCATCTTTATTGCTTGACTATTATTAACATGAATAAATAATCTAATTGATAATTAGTATAGGTAAGTTATTAGAATAGGGATATACTAATTAATGATGAATTATTCACCATCATGTTATTTGTATATACATATAATGCAATTCAATATAATACAATACATTCTAACTATTATTTTATAATTTTTCTTCTTACATATTCATTTAATCATAAAACTAAATGTATGTGGATAAAATTTATTGTGTCGGTGATTTGCTTGTTGCTGTTGCTGTTTTTGTTGTTGTTGTTGTTATCATCGTTGTGTTTTGGCTTTTCACTCTTTTGCTTTTTTCTTCATCTTTCTCTTTCTCTCATTCTGATTATTATGTAATCATGTAATATACAATTTGGTTACTTTTTGCTTGATTCAAATTAAATTTAATTCATTCCTATTTTTATTGCCTGTGATTTGCACAATTCTGTCACACCTACATATATATATATGTGAAATGTACACTTAGTATTTAAGTCACATTTCATTGGATAGTCTAAGAAAATATGATCAAATTGAAGATTCATTCCATAGCTGTCATGATAAGTTCCATGTATTTACTAATGAAAATCGTGATACTCATCATAAAAACTCGTTTATTCCGATCAATCATTCTCCTCATGAAGAATATATTGATAAAGTGAGTAGAAGAAATCATTCTTTATTAACAACACTAGAAGACAATTTAAAATTACCTTATCATCCAGAATTTCATGATACTAATTGGGATTATTTATATAGAGGACAACGAATTGATGAAAGTAATAGATATGTTGAACATCATCAAACATGTATTGAAACACCACTACTACCACCACCACCACCACCACAATTTAATCTTTCATTATCTGGTGTAAACTATTGTCGAGAAGAGGATACTATGAAAAATTCATCTCATGAAGATCATTACCATGATAATGAACATGAATATCAACAAAAAGAAATAAGTCAAAAGTTGAATGAAAAACACTCTAATCATAATGTAAATCATCAATCTAATCATTATAATGATCAAGAAGAAGTTCATGAGCATCATTTTGAAAAGAATCCATTGAATATTATACAACATCATGATACAACAGAACAAAATAATCAACATTATGAAAGTGATATCGTGAAGAATGATTTTCACCATAAGACAGAACTTTTAAGTCAAGAATCAAAATCAAATAATACTCAGACAATACCAGAACAGCCATTACCTATATCAAATGCAAACGTATCTCCTATAAATTCTATACAATCTGAATCAATAGAAAAATCTAAATCATCATTCAACTATTCATTAAATTGTCATAAATGTTATGATAAATTAATTAAAGAATATCAACGATTATTATGTCCTATGAAAGTGAAAAAATTATCTTTTGATTCTAATATAAAACCTCGACAAGTATTTAAAAAACATCGACATTACAGTTTAGGAAGTTCATTCAAGTCTACAATTAAAACTTTTTATCCAATTAAAATAGATTGTAGAAAACTTAATAAAACATCATCATTAACAGATGTAGTAAATAAGAAGTTAATTAAGAATGATTCTCCAGATTTCTTCATAACTTGTAATACACTTCCTAATAATATGGATCTTGGCATAGAACATTACAATAGGGTTCCTATTAAGAATATTGATTTTGAAACGAATTATAAACATCAAAACATTAATAATAGATTATCAATGATTCAATTCAATCAAACAATTGAATTGAATAATAAATTAAGCAATCCATTTCGTGGTTTAGATATTGCTTATTTGGACAGTAAACAAGTTGATCACACTATCACTACTACTACGACTTCGACGACGACGACGACTACTACCATTACTACTTCTAGCAAGAGGAAACCTCATGGTCATAACAATAAATCATGCTTATATAATGAAGTGGATTTAAGAAGAAAAAGGAACAATCTATTCTCTTCACAGTTTAAACAAAGTTATAGTGCTGATAATATAATACAACTTGATTATAATACAAAGATAATCAATTCTCAATCAACCGATTATTTGAATCAATCAAAGTCAAAACGATTATCATCAATATATGATAATAACAATAATCTACAATCCAATTCTATGAAATTAGATCAAAATACATGGCAATTAAAAGTAAAACGTAAAATAAAACATGGATATCCATGGAAAATCTATGAAAATCAATTTATCAACAATAACAAACTATCAACATCATCATCAACACCATCATTCAATGTAACTAAAGCACAACACAAATCTACTTCTTATCATCATAGAATGATTGCGGTAAACACCTTATATGTGTACATAACTATTATGTAAATCATCTTATATGGTTCAGTTTTGTTTGTTTGTTTGTTTGGTTGGTTGGTTGGCTGGTTTATTCTTCTTTTGCATGATTACACTAATACATGCATGCTATGTAGATTAATGTTTTGGTGTACAAAAATTTAAAAACACTAATTTCTTAATCATATTGATTTTATATGATTATAATATCATTCTTCCAAATCATGGCTTTTTTCTTAATCCGAAACTTCCAGTTTTATAAATGATTATCTCTTTATGAATTCAATGATACTTAATTGTTAATTGTTTTCCAGTTTGTATTGATATTCGTTCTTGTTCTTTTTGTTGTTGTTGTTGTTGATTAGATAGGAAGATTGGTCATTGTCATATTAGAAAAAAAATTCATTTCTGTCTCATAAATTTACGAACTATTAACTATGCAGAAATAAATTTTACTGACAAAAATAACAGTAGCAGCAACAATTTGAAAGACTCTCCTGGTCTCTCACATTGTACGAGCATTCTATGTATCAAAATTAATAGTTGCTTTGGTTGTTAGAAGAGGTATCAGCCTCGCGACATCTGAAGGAACCTGGCTTTTACCATGAGGTGTCATAACTCTTCTAAATGAAGAACTTCTAACTCTTAAAGCAGGGTTTAAATGATTTGAATTATTTTTTCTGGTTAGTGTTTTTTTAGCGAGTTATTTTTCTACGGGATGGGGTCGCTGGTCCCATGTCCAACCTTCCTCCTTCATCCGGGCTTGGGACCGGCAGTAGCCCAAGAGGGGCTCCAGGCGGAGTTGAACTAACTTATAAGCGTAAAGTAAAATATGAAAGAAGAATAAAAATTGATCAGCTATTTTGTGTTTCCATTTAATTATTTATTTATGAGTTATTACTAAACAAACTCAGGTTACATTCTAGTCACTAGATCTGAACATGTTTTAGTTCTAATCCCTTAAGTGAATACTGTTAGGATATTGTGTCCACAATACTGAAATAACTCCCTAACAATAACTTGACTTTAGTCTATGCTCATCTTTTTTTTAAAATCAAATACAGTTAACATAACTTTTTTTTTAGTAAAGCTTAGTTGAAAAATATTTGTTTAGATTAAATCAATCAGTTTAATTCCTTGTGAATTGGCTTTCATCATTAGTTTTCTAGCTTATTCATAGTTTGTAATTGATTGCTCTGTTGTCAATTAATCACATTTATATGTGTGTTTAGTGTAGAAAGTAGTTAGTATATCCTATTCCTTTCATATGTTGCTATCTATGCCCCCTCCCTACCCCCTGTTTTTCACACAAAATAAACAAATAATCGTAACTGTATTTAAAAGATACACAATTTTCCTCTTAATAACTATTTAACTAAATATGTTTTGTTGTTTTCTTTCTTTTTTTTTCTTTTTTTTTCGTTTTACTTTTTCTTTATAAATGAGAAGACTGGAATAGCTGGTGATTTAGCTAATATTGATTATGGTAAACAATTATGCTCATATCATGCACAATTAGAAATTGCTAGTAATGAACGAATGTATGCATGGGAACGTGGTGAAATTGATTATACTGGAAAAGATCGTTTTATAAATATTTTAAATAAATTATGCACAACATTACGTGATATTGGCGGTGAAACAAATCTACCCATTGGTACAGATATCATGAAATAATCAAATTATAAAAAAAGGTTTTTTAATAAAATGTATATATATATATATAAATATATATTTGTCAACTTGAATTTCTCCATTAACTATTTCGTTTATATACTACTAATAATAATCAGTAGTTTTATGAGTAATCTATTTTATTTTTCTTTTCATATTCATCAATTGAAAGTCATTCATTATCTTTATACTTTATGATAAGTATTAGTTTATTATGAGCTTGATCGATTTATTTATTTCCCTTTTTTTCTTTTTTCTTTCTCTTTTCTCTTTTCTTTTTTCTTTCTTTTAATACGAGCTATATTATCACTTAGGTAATTTTTGTTTCGTTCACCTTCTCAGGTTTCTTATTACACATGAATTATACTAACAATACTAATGATTATTATTTAACTACCTATTGAATATTGGAATCTTACATGACAAAACCATGTAAAAAGATGATTGCCACTGTTGTTATTTTCTTTTCTAATCATTGACCTAATTCATGTCATTTCAACAATACTGTCACCTTTAGCATATATATACTGTTGAATGATTTGTATATTATAACTGTTTATCGAATATATTAATGTTAAATAGAATAACCGTTTATTCTTTGATCGTAAAAAACAAAACAAATAAGGTTGTTTTATATTTGTTACTAAGAGGGAGAGAAAAAAAACAAAAAATAAAGAAATTTTTTGATTTCGTTTCATTTAATGGAAATCAATAAATATTCCCATGTATTAGATTAATCCCAAATGTGATTTTTGGTAATCTGATATTATTCTTTTCAAAAAATGTAACCCTATTGTTTGATGAATAGATGATGTAATGTAATTTGTTTTTTTTAAAATAAAAGATCTAAGTTATGTAATCATATATGACATGAAAATAATTTTTTAAAATAAAAGAAAAATACAGTTTTTTTATTTTTGAAAATGGTTATATTCCAAATATGATGGATGTTATATTATCAGAGGGGGGTGTTTTGCGGCTATTCTAGTAACATTTAATTGTTGAGATTATAAGCTAGACTACCGTGGAAAATCTCGAAGAACTGGATTGTAATTTCGTTCTAATACGGGACAAGTCAGTAGTAAGCATCCGCTATCCGACCAGTGGGATTTGAACTCATGAATTGTCAGTCTCGCCTGCGAACGTTTCACTTCTAAACCAATGAGCTGGCCGATATCCAACAGTGTCAATGTCTAATTTCAACTAATTCACGAAATTGAGCGACACATTCATCATTGACTTCAGTCAATTACTATATCACAACAAACCCGGTTGAACTCCACTGGTCACAGCTTCTCACTAGAATTCCATGAAATACTTCTTGAAACCAGTCATTAGTGAGCATATGTTGACAAATATCAGGAGGTGTTTTTGTGGATATTCTAGTTGAGATCATTAGTCAATTGAAGCTAGACCACCATGGAATTGAGCGAAATATCCATCGCATGTTATATTATCATTCGTTCCTTAATTATGAAACACTGGTACTCTGAAGTATAGAAGAAGTTTAATTATGATAATGTTTGTTAATGAAATTAAAACTATTATTGTCATCCGTAAAGCTATTTTTATAATTTAAACAAATTTGCCTGAATCAATATATAGTATTCATGAAAGTTGTTAACTATCAGTGTTATTTAATGAGGGTAGTCAAGTACATATCATTTTAACTACAATCAATGATTTTTGTATATTTGTTAAATGGCTAGAAGTGGAATGCAGGACAAATAATTCTTCTATTTCGGAACTTGATAACTAGATATTCTCGTATCCCAATGTCGATATTCACAGCGAAATTCAAATTTAGTACATCCCTTTTTGGAACCCATATGCGTTATCAAGGTATTGATGTATGATATTTAGAATCCTGCGTTTCAAAAATTGTTAGTTCCTAGTATACTTATCTGAAAACAGTGATAATATTAAAAGTTCTTCAGATAACTGGAGAAAAAATATATTATTGATGGTCATCTACTGTGTATCTATTAACAGAAATCCTGGTACTCTGAGACCCGTTTGCTACGAACACCTTATATGACAAAGATTAACTACGCCACTGTAAAATATTTTTAACTCTTTGATGAACTGCATTTGGCATCAGTATCTGTTGTTTTAAGCTTTCCGATTCAATATATTTAGTCTCAAACTGTGAAAGTAGTTGACTAGGGTTCACATTTAAGAGTATGTAGTAGGTGCCTTAAGATTCAAGGTATACCTTACTGACGAATGCCAACTAAAACAAAACCTAGGTCGAAAAAGGCTTCCTGTTGAATGTCATTAACCACCAAACATTGCTGGTCGTTCGAAATCGATGAGTAACAAAAATAAATTCAGTATTTATGTTCCATGGTTTCACTCATCAATAGGGCATCTTAAGGGGAGTGATAGTACCTGTTGGATTCGAACACCCATGCCGTGATATTGATTCACTCAAACTGTTGGATATGCTACAAAGTAACTAATAGGATTTAGCCCGTACTAAAGACCAGACAGACATAACATTACTTGCTACCTATTGATTATTTAATGCAAATGTCTTTTCTATTGTTCTAGATAGTGAAACTGACTGAATGTTTTATCAATATAAATGTGATTCACTTGGGAATAAAAATTTTTTTTAATGTGTTGAACTAATTCCACTTTAGCCTATCAATGATTATTTTCATTCTACATATATAAAATCTACAATTTCGTTTCAGTAGTTCATAGTAGCATTTACGATAGACTAATACTTTAAACAAGAGACTGATCAATTACAGTCCTAAATAACTATGGGAAGATACCAGTAAACACCATCAAGTGAATTTAGAACTACAGACCATTGCACAAGAAGGTGGCTATTAGGATTTAGTAGCTAAGTGGATAACTGATGTCAACAGAGAAACAAAAATCCTTGATAAACTAAGGAAGCTATTTTTAGGGACTTTATTCCATTTTATTCTAAGCTTGTAAAATATCAACATTTATTTTTATTCCTAGTCTATTCTACAGAACATAAGCTTTCGTTTGATGTATGACTCACTGTCATAGCCCTTTTTGTTCCATAGCTATTGTCGTTTAAACGTTATATGTTGTACTCTATTTTCTGCATTAATCTCCAGTTTTAGACATAATTTATTTTCCCAATCGTTGTGCGTTGTGGTCTGGTTAGTGTTCTATTTATTCATGTATCTTTTTACGCTGATCTGAAGTCGGGAATCAGATCGGAATTGAGAATAAATGAAGTAGTGTTCCAGTTGGCTTGTCTTCTCTCATTCGTGTGCATGTCAGCTAATCAATTGATAGAATAGTTTCCTTCTCTCTACTCTGCTTCGAACTCACGTATACTAGCCCCAAGGTTAAGCCGATCAACCTATCGCATCTAGGTTTTAATCTAGATAAGACAAGTATCTTCAGCACTAAAAGTGGGTAGACAACTCAAGGACGTAACAATAACGCGATGGGGTTTGAAGTGAACGATACTGGGTTCGAGTCCCAGAGTAGACATCAACTCTGAGATTCAGGTACATCTAACTGACGAGTCCCAAATAGGACAAAACACGTGTCCTGGATTCTACTGCTAGCTACTATCCATATTTGTTTAGAAAGCTTGTGACCTAAGGCAATATCGAGACAGTCCGCACAGAATGCACATATGCCAACAAGAGATTGATCAATTGCAGTCCTAAATGATGATGATAATAATAATAATACTTACTATTCATTAACCAGTAATCAAAGTGGTTTTATTTACTTCTTGTTTAAAATCTGTCAACCAAATTATGATCAATCATGAAATGTTATCAACAAAAAAGTATTACTTGCTTACGCCTGTTACTCCCCGTGAAGGAGCGTCCGCCGCTCACCAGCATACTCCATCCAACCCTGTCCTGGTCAATCCTTTCCAGCTCTTTCTAGTTGCAATTCATCTTCTTCATATCTGATTCTATTTCCCAGTGTGATGTATTCTTTGTCATTCCTCTTTTCCGTTTCCCTTCAGGATTCCAAGTTACGGATTGTCTCGTGATGTGGTTTTATGATTTGCGTAATGTATGTCCTATACAACTCCACTTTCTTCAGCGGAAAGCTGGTTTGTTCTCTCCCAGAGAAGGCTGTTACTGATGGTATCCAACCAATGGATGTTGAGTATCTTGCCTAGACAACCATTTATAAATACTTGTACCTTCTTGATGGTGGTTGTACTAGCTCTCCAAGTATCCGCTCCGTACAGTAGGACTGCCTTGACGTTTGTATTGAAGATTCTGACTTTGATATTGGTTGAAAGTTGTTTTCAGTTTCATATATTCTTCAATTGTAAGAATGCGACCCTTGCTTTGCCAATCCTTGCCTTTACGTCTGAATCTGAACCTCCTTGTTCATTGATGATGCTTCCCAGGTATGTGAAGGATTCCACATCTTCCAGAGTTTCTCCATCAAGTGTGATTGGATTGGTATTCTCTTTGTTGTATTTGAGGATCTTTGTTTTCCCCATGTGTATGTTGAGGCCTACTGATGCAGATACTGCTGCTACACCGGCTGTCTTTATCTGAATTTGTCCGTGTGTATGCGATAGGAGAGCTAGGTCATCTGCGAAGTCCAAATCGTCTAATTGATTCTGAGCTGTCCATTGTATGTCGTGTTTTCCCTCAGATGTCGAGGTCTTCATAATCCAGTCGACCACCAGAAGAAAGAGGAAGGGAGAGAGTAAACAGCCTTGTTTGACTCCGGTCCTTACTTGGAATGCGTTTGTCAGCTATCCTCCATGCACGACTTTGCACTGTAGTCCGTCATATGAGTTCCGGATAATGTTGTCAGCAATCATCTCAGGAACTCCGTAGTGTCGAAGAAGTTTCTACACTGTCAAATGCCTTTTCATAATCAATGAAGTTGATGTACAGTGACGAGTTCCACTCAACGGATTGTTCGACGATAATCCGTAGTGTTGCAATTTGGTCTGTGCGCGACCAATTCTTACGGAATCCAGCTTGTTGATCTCGATGTTGGGCGTCTACTGCGTCTTTCATCTGGTTCAGCAACACTCTGTTAAAGACTTTCCTTGGTATTGACAGTAGTGTAATGCCTCTGTAGGTTTCACAGTTGCTCAGATCTTCTTTCTTTGGAATCTTGACGAGATATCCTTCTTTCTAGTCGATCAGCATTGAACAATTAAAATATTATAAACGAATATGAAGTTAATAAAATATATTATATAATCATTTATGAATATATCTTATGATTAATTAATATTAGTTGACCTAACAAATTATGATAATGTTTGTTTTATATAGTTTATTCAATGTTTCAATTACATCTTTGACCTTATTTAATGAACTTTGTATTGAATTATTTATTCATTTCATTGTACAATAACAATATATTAGATTATACTAAATGTATTTAGATCAACTTTGAAATCATAATCCTAATTAGATTGTCATTGTTGTGGTTGTTGTTGTTGAAATGTCTAAACATAGTTAAAGGTGTTAGATTATTCATTTATAAATGGAATTTTGTTCTATGATCTGAATAGTTTGATTATGGTGCTTTCATTATTCTTTTGAATGACATCATTCACAGTATAAATTAGAACTAATGAAAGGTCTCTAAAATGTCAATTAAGATAGTGAGTACTAGAATCTGAAGGAAATATCTGTCAGTCAGTCAGTCAGCTACAATGTAGGACCAGGCATCGGTCCAAGTTGCTACATCTCATTAGCACAATAACATGAACACCAAATTCATAGAAGTAGTGAATTCAATGATGGTAATATATAAAAGAAAGATTGCATATGACGACATAGTACAGGAAGAAACTATTAGTTGGTAGAAAGATATAAAGCAATATTAATCTCACAGTTTAAGCGAAGGCAGAGAGTGTATACGCCTATCCCATTGTGATCGATTCTGAGCCATGTCACCCACAGTCTCTAACCAT